CTCTTGATACGCTAGATCTAGTATATGATCTACTATCAAAACATAATATGCATATATCTTACAACAGAAACTTTATCCTTGTATCCAAATCCAAAAGTTCCTTAAAGGATCTTTTTTTTCTTTCTCATTCTGAGAATAGCAAAAAGAGGGGAAGGAAAATCGCCTCCGAATTTACGATTCTATTAAGGGCTAAAAATGTTAAAGAGAACTTACCGAGATGGAAATATAAAGAAGGTCGAAAAGAATAATAATAATAAAGAAGAATACGAAGAAGGTAGTCGAGAATAATAATTCCATACCTTGTAAACTGATTAAACTCGAAAGTCTGAATAAACTAAGACTTGAAGGATTATACGGATGCTAGTATTAGAGCAATAATAATAGCAACAACGAGTATACCACTAACAGTACTACTGCTGTTGTTGAGGATACTATTACTTTTATCGTTAACATTATTGCAACGAGTACTACTACTATTATTATTAATGCTACGAATACTTTTGCTACTATTACTACTGGTATTACTGCTACTGTCACTATTGCTATGGATGCTACTATTGCTACCATTGTTACTACTTTTACGATCACTGCTAACAGTGTTATTGTCATTGTTACTACGTGTATTATCATCGCTATTACTAGTACATGTGATAGTGATGGCAATAGTGGTGATGATGTAATAGTAATAAAAATGATCATTATTATTATCATAGTGACGAAGATCAAAATAAAACTATAGCAAGTAAAAATATCCAACAGCAATAATACAACTAATGACATTAAACAACATCTAACAACAAGAACAACAACAAACAGGTACACTAATAAATCACACGAAACCTCCCCTCCCCCCCAAAAAAAAATGTATTATCGCCAAGACCTTTCAGCCGCCTGGCCACTCCACTCGAGGGTCGGCTTTTCTCGCAAGACCATTCATCTTTGTCGGGCTGAACCGGTTGCGAGGAGAGCCCGCGGCAGGAAACGAAAGGGGAAGGAGCCACTCGCATACTAATTTTTTTCCTTTG